TGTTAATTTTACGGACAAAGCTCCAACGTTCTGATTGAAGTTTTCAATTTTGGTGGTTCCAGGAATGGGACAGACATCATTCCCTTGGTGATGGACCCAAGCCAATGCAAGCTGTGATGGGGTGCACCCCTTCTTCGCTGCTATCTCGTTAACTCGCTCATACAAGCGTTGGTTATGCTCCAAATTTTCAGGTTGGAACCTTGGCATTGACTGTCACAGTTGAATATTCATTTCAAATAATTGTGTCATAAAAGATAAAGGTAATCAGCAACAAAACATTTTCTGTCACTAATGCAGATTTGTTGATTCAAAACATTTAATCAATGAATCACATGACACACTTGCATAACTCAAGGGAAAGGGCCATATTAGAGGCAAACTAGGACATAAAGGTATAGTTAGCCCTCTGTTATTATGAGGAAGATAAAGAAGATTACTACCCAACATGTTTTTACATTTTGAAAATAAGTTTTGAAAGAGAAGGGGAACAGGTTATGAACATACTCAAATTTGGATTCTTAACTAGTCTACCCTTACCCAAGTGCACAGTTGGAGAATATACACAGAGACAGTACACACCAACATGTAAATAAACCCAATTCACATGTAAGTCCCACCAACTTAGAAAGAAAAAGATTGCTAGCATTGAAGCACTTATAGACTAAATCGGGAGGTCTTCATATGGATAGTTAACAAGAGGAAATGTTTTGGTACAACTTCAGCATTAAAAATATTTAACCGTCAGATATAAAAAAAATTCTTGTCATTTCTGTAAACTACTAAACTTTTTTATGCAAGTATTGATCACATTTCATGATTAAGAAAATCCATCATCCATAAAACATTTGATCAGATGATTAGTATTTCCTAGGAAAAATAATGCAATTGTGAAAAATAGCTACAAACCTTTCTGCGGTCATCATTGGACAAAGTTTCCACAATTTTAGGCCCTGATGAAAAGAATCCTCTCCCCAAAGGACTGTAAGCAACAACCCCAATTCCAAGTTCTCTAAGAAATGAAAAGGAATCACACTAGAATAAGATTTCTAAGTCACTAATTTTTTTTAAAAAAAGAATTATTAGTCTTATGGATAAGTAACCTGCAAGTTGGAATGATGTGGGCCTCAGCATCTCTAGTCCACAAAGACCACTCCAACTGTACAGCAGTTATTGGGTGAACAGCATGTGCCCTCCTAATTGTCGAAGCAGAAGCCTCAGATAGACCTATGTACTTTACCTTACCTTCTTCAACTAGCTTCTTAAGTTCTCCCATCTGAGAAATGGAAAAGGGCAACAATCAAAAAAAAGATCAAGAATTCTCATTTTAACTAGATCATGACAAAGAAAAAGGCAGTGGGCCGAAAACAAGACTAAAACAAACCGTGACTTCAATGGGAACCCTGGTATCAATCCGATGCTGATAATAAAGATCGATACAATCCACACCAAGACGCTTCAAGCTACCTTCACAGGCCGCCCTCACGTAAGCAGGGTCACCGCGGATTTCCCCCTTGCCTTCAGTATTGTCTACACCAAACTTAGTAGCCAATTCAACTTTGTCTCTGAAACCATCTTTCAAGGCCTTGCCAAGGAGGATTTCATTGGTGTGGGGACCATAAACATCAGAGGTATCAAGAAGGGTAACCCCAGAGCTGATTGCGTGGTGGATGAGAGCGATCATGTCTGCTTCAGGCTTTGGAGGACCATAGAAAGCTGACATCCCCATGCAGCCAAGGCCTTGAGCTGACACTTCCAGGCCTTGAGAACCCAACTTGATCCTCCCAACTTTTGCAGTTGCCATGTTTTGCAGGCGAGAGTGAATAGCTACCTGAAGTTGCTGCTGACAGCAGAGTTCCAACCAGTGTTGTGTCGAGGAAGTCGCGGTACGGTGTTAACAGTTAAGTAGTAGGTGGAAAGTTGAGGGAGACTGTACAAAAGAGGAAAAATTGAAACCGATGACATAAGGGCCAATGTCATAATGTCTCGAAAGGAGTAAGAGCCCACGGTACATTTGACTGTGGAACAATATTTTCTTTCTTAATATTCTTTTTGAATGGTACAAAAGAGTTGGGAAGAATTATTTTACAAGTTAGCCGACGGATTAGAAAATGAGGGATTTGGAAAGAGGGTAATGCATCTAGAATATTATACTTTGCTCCCTTATTAAATATGTGAATTTGTCTGATTATTGTTTTGATGACATTGGAAAAGGAAATGGTAAAAAAAGCTCCCATTTTTACATCAGACTTTCTTTTATGTGGACAATCTCAACATGACAAACTTAGATAACGACAATCAAGGCTGCCATCTATCACCACGGGACCTATGATACTTCCAATATAACACTTTATTTTCTGAACATAAAGTAGAGAACTCACAAAAATTTGAAGCACATCACTCTGGAATTACATTAGCTAGGTCGATAGCTCATGATGAAAATTGTATCAATGTGGTGAGTGAATGGAAGGCCCTGAATCCTCATACGGGTTGTCCAGAAGACAAGGGAGGAGTTTCAGATTCATGGTAGGTAGCGAAAGTTCCAGTATATCTGTCTCCCTTCACGGCATCTGCTGAAGCAATGGATTCTAGCTCAGCCATCTCTTCAGGTGTTAGTTTCAAGGCCAAAGCTGCAATGTTCTGATTGAAGTTTTCGATTTTGGTGGTTCCAGGAATGGAACAGACATCATTCCCTTGGTGATGGATCCAGGCCAATGCAAGCTGTGATGGGGTGCATTCCTTTCTTGCTGCTATCTTATTAACTTGCTCATAGAGGCGTTCATTATGCTTGAGATTTTCAGGTTGGAACCTTGGTAGATACTGCCATAAATGAATATCCATTATAATGATTGTGTCATCAAACAAAAAGACAATCAGCAGCAGGGCATTAGTTCCTGCAAATGGTACAAATTTGGAATTCAAGTTGTTTTTAGCTAATTTAATTTCAAGATTTAGTTCTCAGCTCATGCCATAGTTTGTTGTCCAAATAGACCTCATTTTGTTTAATTGCCCAAGAACAGAAACGATCTTGTATTTTATCTTGAAATGATGCTGTTTGATTTCAATACAAGGCTAAATGCACTTTTTCAAACTGATTTCCATGCAATACTAAGTCTTAAACAAGTAGTGCCGGTCATTAACTTTACTTTTTTGAAATTACGACAATTGCTCATTACCTAATTTAAACATCACTTGGTAATTAAGTTCGAAGAAGTTAGACACAAAATTTCCAAATACATGTTGCAGGTGTACTGTCATTGATGACACATGCCACATCTCAGATGAAGTAAGTAGATATACAAGCTTCACCTAAGTTTTTATTTGAAAAATTGAAAGATGCTTTTGACAGTTGTAAAACTATTGCCATAGTAGAAACTTCACCTTCATGATATTGATAAATTGACCACAAGAGAGCATTTAGGTAACTAAAGGGGAGGACTGTGCTACAGGCAAATTAGGACATAAAGGTAGTTAACCTTGTGCCAGAAAGAAGTACAATGACGATTACCGCCCAATTTGTTTTCCATATTTGGGAGAAGAATATCCTTTGTGGGGAGTTTGAAGCTTGACATTCAGGCGGAAGATCTCTATTTCAGAGTAGGCTAACAAAGAGGAAAATCTAGCAGAGCAACTTAGCTGTCGAATCTAAGACATCTAATGTTTCTTTATGCCTGTATTGATGTAGATTTTCTCTAGAAATTGAGGAACACTTTTGTCACCAACAAAAAAAAAATTATAGATCAAGTTTCGCGCAATAAATTTTGATATGCCTTAAAGTAACTGACAGTTATTTCTAGTGCACAATTGCGACTGTAAAATAACTACAAACCTTTCTGAAGTCATCATTAGACAAAGTTTCCACCATTTTAGGCCCTGATGACAAGAATCCCCTCCCCAGAGGACTGTAAGCAACAATCCCAATCCCAAGTTCCCTGAGAAATTAGAAGGGAAAAGATGACATGACATTAGGGTTAGCAATTACCGATTATTCAAAAATAACTAACCTGCAAGTAGGAACTATTTCTTCCTCAACATCCCTGGACCACAATGACCACTCCAACTGCACTGCAGTTATTGGATGAACAGCATGTGCCCTTCTAATGGTTGAAGCAGAAGCCTCAGATAAACCAATGTACTTTACTTTACCTTCTTCAACTAGCTTCTTTAGTTCTCCTATCTGGGTATCAATCAATACAAAAATCAAGAACTCTCATTTTTCTTTAAAAGAAAAACAACTAGAGACGGAACAAAAAACAAAAGACAAAACAAACCGTGACTTCAATAGGCACCCTGGTGTCAATACGATGCTGGTAATAAAGATCAATACAATCCACACCAAGACGCTTCAAGCTACCCTCACAAGCCGCTCTCACGTAAGCAGGGTCACCACGGATTTCCCTCTGGCCTTCAGTTAAGTGAATACCAAATTTAGTCGCCAACTCAACTCTGTTTCTGACACCATCTTTCAATGCCTTGCCAAGAAGGATTTCATTAGTATGGGGACCATAAACATCAGAGGTGTCAAGAAGGGTAACCCCAGAGTTGATAGCATGATGGATGAGAGCCACCATGTCAGCTTCAGGCTTTGGAGGACCGTAAATTGCAGACATCCCCATGCAGCCAAGACCTTGAGCTGATACTTCCAGGCCTTGAGAACCCAGCTTGATCCTCCCAACTTTTGTTGTTGCCATTGTTTTTCAATCGAAATTTGGCTGCCGAATAACTGTTAATTAGAGTGAATAGCTGAAGCTGGGGAACTGTTCCAGGAAGTGTGGAGTTGAGCAACTTGTGGAAAATTTATACCAGTATCATTGGAAGGTAAGGAAGGTGACGTAAATAACAGGGAAACTATGAAACCGACGGAATTGCCGATGCTATCATGTCTCAGAAACCGAAAGACGTTGGTACCTATGTTTTGTGGAAACTTTTCATTTCTTTGTTCTTGTTCTTTGAATCCTTTTGCCGGTAAAGTAGACAAATAGTACGACATAGTTAAGAAATAGTAACTGCAGGCACTGAAATAGTTATTGCAAAGCACGGAGAATCGAGGGAGCAGGAAATGGACTCAACTTCTAAGCCCTCTGCACCTTTGAAGGACGTTCATAAATGAATTCTATAGAAGGAATCACAAGTGATGTCTCATAAATGTACGTTCGGGTTTCATTAATGGAAAAAATGGCAAATTTAATATGCTAGTGTTAATATGAATTTCTGTTGAGTTTTACAGACCAGGATATGTTAAGTTGAAAGGATTAATTATTGTGACTTGTGAAGCAAATATAAAGTAGTTGAATGTCATCTGATTTTGTTACTTGCAGATAATAATTTCGGCAATTATATTCTTATTAGATAGAAAACAAATGCAACGACTTGGAATCAATTATGTGAATGGCCAAAATGCTATGGCCATTGTCTTCCAAATCAATGCAAGGTTAGCAGGCTAAACATTAATCATTGGGTATTGTTTTTTATTTCTTTTTGTCAATATTATTTTGTGAGTAAAAATTTATTTAATTCGATTATAACAACGGTCTCTCACTAACTTATTTTTTAAAAAAGTTTTTATATATTTAAAAGTATTTAATTCAATAACTGATGTATTTATTTATCTATTTTGACAATAAGTGATTTTAAATTAAAATTATATTTCGAATTCATAACTATTATGAGATATGCACTTTTTGACTCAATTTGTTTTTAGAGATTAAGTAATTTTTTTATTTGGAGTTTCAATAAAAAAATTAAAGAAAAAGTAAAAGAATAAAAACAATAATTAGGGATGTAACCTATCATCATTCATGTATAATTTAATTAAGGCCCATTGGAATAACATCATTACACTTAATTCGTAATTTGCTTTGTATCAAATTTTATGTATGATGGCAAAAAAAAAAAATACTGTAAATACTTACTTGCATATCCAGACTAGGTAAGGATTGAGTAAATTATTGCTATTGTCCCAACTTGTCTGACGTGCTTCGTGGTGATGGAACATGCTTGATCATTTGTCCGTGTTTAGAGCTGGCTTTGTGGCTGTTAGGTGGCTGTGTTCCGAGTCCAGCACTGTGTGCTAGTGCTTTACCGTAGTGAGAGGGGCTTGCAAATGATTTCAGCTTACTGGGTTCATTTCCCTGATGTTTTGAATTGCTGTTAAGTGTTAGAACACGCCTGCAGGTTTTAATCTGCCATAACAAGTCTCCTGCTAATGTTCTCCGCTACAGACTTGCACCAGCACTTTGTATCTCTGCTGGACTGGGTGCATAACATCTTGCTTTTTTTCTTAGAAAAAAAAAAGGAAAGAAAGAAAGTAAGGAGCTTGTGGGAAGATTGTAAGATTGTTTAAATACAAAGTATTAATGTGTGAAAAGGACATAATTAATTAACCTCACCTAAATAACTTATACCAACATGTCTGCACTGCATAGCCAGAAACAATACATCAAGTCTATATTCAATATGTTTTATGGGCTTGAGGTCATGTAAAAGCGTCACGAACTTTTGGTAAAATATGAATTATCTTTAACATCTTTAATCTGATAATCAAAATGAAAGGAATAATGGAAATTTCAAGAAAAATGATTAATGAGGTGTAAAGAAAAGAGTTTCGGTTGCAAATAAATTCAAACAGGCATGCAATGTTGAGAAATTGGATTGGTTGGTAGTGTGAGCATCCAAAGCTTACAAAGTGAAGGTTTATGATACTTAGACGCATCTTTTACAGATCATTGGCTGCCATTTGGGCTTTGAATTTTGATGGAGTCATCAGGCGGTGACGTTGGAGGCTATGTGTACTTTGCCACACTGGGATTTGCTTGACGCTTTATCTTCAATGATCAAATACATAACAGTTAAGTGACTATCAACGTGACCCTAAAGCATGCAATTCTTCAAAGCTTACTTGCGTTTCACGTGCCTTTGATGCAAGCATATATCTTCATTGTTCTTCTTCTTCCACCAAATTATATAATTAACAGGTTTTATGATGTACCCCCCAAACACTTAAGTTCCAAGAAATGAACCCAACTAATTGCACCCATGGCCCCTCTCCTCAATCAGTCTCCATTGAATCTGTTGAAATATCTATCCAAAATCTCATCAAAAGCTGGTACAAAAGGCAGAGATGGCAACACGTTTTCAACCCAAGATCAGAACTAGTAGTGTCATCAAGCAGAGCACCCTGGAGAACTCACTTGGCCAAATTCTTAGAATCAACCCAACTTCGCATTGTTGCAATATCATTGCTTCTTCTGGACCTAGTCCTCACCATTCTTGAACTATCCTCGACTGTACTTTCCTGTTCACCCAAAAGCAGTAGTACTAACATCGAAAAAGCTTGGTACCATTGGGTAGGAATTTCCATCCTGGCGCTGCTTTCTGCCAAGTCAGTGGCTCTTGCTGTGGGGCTTGGCAGTGCCTTCTTTAGACGGCCAGGCTATCTTGTCGATGGCATAGTTGTTGTCGGGGCATTGCTTTTGGAGGCATTATTGGAGAGGAAAGGAGGAGGTTTGCTTGTGATTGTGAGTTTGTGGCGTGTCGTGAGGGTGGTAGAAAGTGCCATGGAGTTGAGTGATGAGGCCATTGAAGCACAGATTGAAGGGATCGTTTGCCAGTTCGAGGCACTCCGAGAGGAGAATACAAGGCTTTTGGAGACCATTGCCCAAAAGGATCAGATAATAGAGACGCTAGAGAAAGAACTGGATGAATATAGGCAGGCATGATTGCGATCAGAGTCCAATGTCCTGAACAAAAGTGTGTATATAAATATATATATATATATATATATATATATATACACACACACACTTCAGCTATTTTTCTATTAAAAACATTTTATTTATTGATTTTAATTTATTTTTCAATAATTAACTCGTTCTATAACGTTTCTACCATTATTTTTCCTTTGTTAGAATTTGTCTTGGAATAGCAATCTCAAATTATCATATATATACCAAAGTGGCTTGGGGTGCTTAGCCTATTATTTAGTTGTCATTTTTATACTATGATCACTTTTTATTTAATCAAAAGTTATTATAAAAAAGAATTAATAATAAAAAATCATAGTATCATATTTTAAGTGAAAAATAAGCAAATTAAATTTTATATAAAGAATGAACATCAAAGAGTGATTTTATAAATATAATATGAAATGAGAGAAATTGACATAATTTCATTATGTAAGGGCATTTTATAGGTCGAAAATTTATATTTATAAGAATGATTTATTTAATAATTTTTGTAAAGTGAGAGAAATCGAAAACTATTTTTATCAATATATAATAATTTATATTAAAAACTTAAAATTTTTATATCAAAATCTTTATTTGATATTCTATTCTCAGTGCTATAACAAATAATTTTATATTACTGTAAAATTTGTATTTAAAGATTTTACTAATAATACTTAAAAATTTTCTTAATTTTCTCAATTAATGTTAGAATTTTTAAGGAAGTGCCTCTCCAGCTTCAACTTCCCTGTTCCCTATCTATGTCTAGGCGAATCGCCATATTGTTCTTGAGCAAAACTAAGAAATCACTACTGTATCTTTCTCTCTAAACAAATCTTACTCTTGGATTTCACCATGAATAATTCTTCCCCCATTTTACATTAAAACCCTCCTTTGATATAAAGGTGTTGCTCCAGCTCATCATCTTCTCCTTCTGCTAAAGCCTGCTGTTTTCATTCCTACTCCATCTTCTTTCTATTTATACTTTGCCATCCATTTCTCTTCTAATCATCTTCTTCAACGTCTTCTTTCTCAACCCATTTTGCCAAAATTTCCCTTTTTTTTTCATCCTCTGCTTCCGTTTTCGCTTTCTTAACCCTCTTAGGTCTTCAACTATTGGCATAAAGCTCATAATTTTATGTACTTTTCGGCCGTGTTTATCTTCAAGATGACTTCTGGGACTATAATTTAAACTGGGTTCGCTCCTGTTTTGATCCTCGTTGAGTTATCCAAACTGTGTTTGTTGTTGTTTCTCAACTTACGGTTTGTCAGCATTTTCTTCGGAGCAAAATGGGCTGTGATAGATATGTCAATGGTGAAGCAGTTACTAACCCATTTTCCATAAGGTGATTTCCCATTTTTACCATGCTTTAATATGATTTATATCTTTGCTTTATATCGTTATTGCATGGTAGTTAATTACAGATGTAGCTTTGGAATTTTTGCCTCGCATTTCCTTTGAACTTCAGCTTACTACATGTACATTATATCTTGGTTATGTAGCTTTTTCTATTCTTCCATTTTATGCATATGGATAGTGTTTTTCCAAATTAGCAGTATCAAAGGTTCACCTAGTTTTGTTTCTGCCTTGTCCATTTCATTTTTCTTTAGACTATTCTTGAAAATTACTTTCATTCTTTTGTTTTGTTCTTAAAGATAACAATTGGGGTTTATATAGCAGCATATCCAGTAAATGAAATCGGCAAGCTTTCTGCACTTTGTTTTAAAAGAGTGGTTTTGCACCAGACGTTAATTTTCCAGTCAAATGTTGTTTTAAAGGAAATGAAATATTTGATTAGGTTACCCATCTTGATAAAAAATATTTAACTTTTCTCACTGCTGATGAACTCTGTTCTATAATTCTTCAATTCCAGAAGTGGGGTTTTTATGTTTTGAACCATGTATTGTTCTAAGTTTTGCATATGATTTTTAGGATTATGTACTTTACCTCTTGTATTATTCCTCACAGTTGTGTAATGATGTTTTTCCCTTCAGCGGCAGTGCATGATAACAAATTTTAATTTAGAATTTTAAGTTAATATTTCAATGATATAAAATGCTGATTTCTTTTCTTTCTATATTAAAGAAATTAGCATCTCAATTCTATTTAACATTTTGTTTTACAGACAGTTTGTTGGGGCTACTAGGAGGAAAGATGTCTTTCTTTGTTGGCCATTTCAGCAGAAGCACTTGCATATCTGTCTAAAGTATGGTATTAACAACGTGTTGCCACCCTTTGAACCATGTAATCCAGCTATTCGAACAACAAAAGAAACTGTAGGTTTGATGTGTTCTCAACAGAATAAAGAGAATGTTTCCTTTGAAAATAAAGTGAGAGATATTGTTGTGCAGGAGAAATTGATCAAAGATGAGTGTAATTCTTTCTATGATGAGGTGTTATTGAAGGCCCCCTGCCATGACTTACTTAAATCTCATCTGGATGATAGTAGTAAGCATAAAGATGAAAGCAACTTAAGTTCTGATTACACTTCCAATGTCATAGCTCCACTAAAACGACAATCAAGTTCCATAGAAGGTTCTGACCTCAATGTTTATCCAAGAACCAATACACTTTCTTCCAAGAGGTTGAGACATAAGCAAAGAAAATATAAGGGGAGACAAAAGAAACGATCAATGTTGGATATTTTAGCGAAAGCAAAGCCTTGTACTTTGGAGGATCTCTATAAATTAGATGCAGCTCAATAAACCTTGCTAATGATAGGGATGAAAGAAGCAGACTGATGGCACATGTTGAGGATGATGATGAAGCCAATAGTGACAATTTTCTAGCAAAGAGATTAGGGTACTAAAGATTAAGTTGGTGGATGCACATCCAAGTCATGAACATTAATTAAAGTGATTACAAAATTCAAGGTACATTTTCTGCTTTATTTTCCTGCTATAATTTAGGCTAATTGTGAATATGCTAGTTGTATTCTGAGAGCTTTCTAAAATAATAAACCCTGAAATCATTTCTATAAATCTAGGTTATATTGAAAAGAAAACTGCTTTGTTTTCCCGATTGAAGTAATTATTCTTCTCATGTTCGGGGGTCACTCCAGTGATCTTGTTCCTTTGGGATGTTAAGAGGGGGAAGGGTAAAAAGAGGAGGATGGATAGGTAGTCTTGATAAGCATAGCAGTACACTCAGAGTATGCATTGCATTTTGGCAAGATATTGACCCTAAGGTCCTTGCATATTCAATATCTGTATTAGATTTCAACATCTCATTATTTCTTGCAATTTTCCACTTTGTTTCTTTTATACTTTGGTTGCATGCTTTCTTTTATATTTTGGACTTCCGATGTAATCCAAAAATATCATATTTTACATCTTCATGATCTGGCCTTGTTTTGTTTAATCATTGTCCTAATATGATCCGATACCAATTTCTATGGCCCTATTGATTAGGGGAAACCAAAAAGATCAGATCATATGTTCTGGTTCTCTGATACAGATGAAGTGCCCTTTTTCAATATGCATTCATCATCGTGATAGATTTATGTTATATGAGCATACACTAAATTGGCATTGTGCAGAAAAATCTACTAATGATATATGAATTCATAAGATTGCCAAATCTACTCCCAATTATACAGTTAACAATATAGACACTAGGCGAATTCATTTACAAACACAAAAAACTGACAGCTTTCACAAAAAATAAATCATGGTCTGACTGCTTATTTCTTCATATCAGCTATTACACTGGTAAAAAAAGGTGTTTTAAAAACATATGTTTCACACTTTTTCAGGAAACATGTTATCTGTCCTCATCTCTATACTTTTGCTGATTAAATATGTAAATTTACTTTTCATGTTTTTTCCTTCTAGTAAGTGGTGCAGTTTATATCTGCAAATATCCTCCGCTAAGAAACAGTTAAAAGTTTTGAAATGTTACTTAGTCCCCTTCAATTTTCCCTTCTGAACCCATGATAGATACTTGTAGCACTAGAAATGAAGAATGCCAAAGTATTGTTTTGTTACTTGCGCAAATTTGACCATTCTCATGTTAACCGCTGATGAAGAAAAAAAGGGTCCCTGGGATTATTGGTTATTCTTAGTGGATTTAGAAACTTCTATCTGCTTGGTGCACTTTCTTTACTTGTTAGTGAATAGCATAATCTGCTAAATTTTTAGTATCTGATTTGTAATGATTGTTGTTGAATCATGGTCTTATTTAGCATAGCAGGAGTGATATTTGAAATTTTATTCAAGGGGTAACATAGATGTTATAACTAGTTTGAATAAAGCTGCTATGAAAAATGAAGGAGTACTGTCTACTTATTTTTATCGTCTAATTCCATTTACTGCTTCTCATCTCTGGAAGATGGGAATGAAAAATGAAAGAACATAAGATATTCAGCAATAATTTGATAGATGAATTTAATATTCTTTTCATAAGACTGGACTAGTCAGGTGATGCAATTAGAACTAACAATCAAGATTTTAAATGGTATTCATTATTTTTTTAAGAAAAAATAATCAAGTCATTTCTTATTTTCTGTGCTCAGACCTTTTTTCTCAACAGTTAACCATGATTTTATGCATGTTCACTACTAATCAGCAGCATGCTAGGAAAGTGGCCACAGAACCTTATGATAATTTTGCCATCTCAGAATAGCTGTGTACAAGATAAGAATGTTACACACACAAAAGAATTTAGATTTCTGCAACTGCTGTAGTTTTCAGGTTGAATAAAGATATGCATTCTCTTTTTTTTTTTGGCAGGCGCCAGGCAGCAGGCAATCTGAGTCGAATTTGAGGTTAGCTGATGACCCTTCTAGCTTCTCTCAGAACAAAGTCATATCTTGTCTCCTGGTATCAGAATGCAAGGATGGGCAGCTTCAAGCTATTTGAAGTACTTCAAAAGAAATGTTGAGTGGTGTAAGCTCATAAGAACTGCAGCAGATGTCACAGACACAAGGGAATCTGTCAATCTTTTATCAAATAGTTTTGGAGTAATAGCAGTTTTTGTAGTTTTCTAGGCAATATGTAATCCATGTATACCTTTCAATTCCTCTTTATATATATATATATATATATATAAAGTATAAATTACTTTTACATTTTTAAAATCTCACTTTAATTCAGTTTGAATCTATTAAAATTGAAAATAAATACTTCCTTTCAAAATAATATATATTGCAAAACACATAAATTATATTATTATTTCATCATTTGAAATTTTATTTATTTAATGACATTTATAAATTTTATATTCATTTTATCTTTCTTACATCAGAAAAACAATAGTTTCTTAAACAAAATAAATGAGGAGGGCAGGGCCCCAAGCCCAAAGGCCGAAAAAGAAGAGTCAAAACAAGGGAAGACAGTCAATGGGTGGACAAAGCAGCTTTCCTACTTCCTACTTTGCCTAGCTTATCTACTTTGCCTAGCTTATCTACTTTGCACTTTCATTTGCTTGTCTTCTTACATGCCCGTGTTTTCCGCTTAGGTATATTCGGTTTGCCTGAGCTAAGCCATTCTCATGTCATTTGGTTTCTGATTTTTGCTTCGATTTTTCTTTGCCCGAGCATTGATTTCCTATAGCTTCTGATGGGATATTCCTAGTTCAGCAGCTATCCTGTCTGAGCCAACCACGGTGCTGTCATCATGTTTGATTTTACGCCTGAACGAACTTCAGTTATTCTTCCTTAGCCTTGACTTCAGCTTACTAGCATCCTGATCAAATTACGCGACCGACCATGTTGCTCTCTGTCTCTTGCCAGAAAGACAGTTTGCTAAGCTCAAACTTCCTACCAGCGGCAAACCCATCTTGCTTTCCCCTTAGAAAAGCTAGAAAGAGCTATCAAACCGTTTGTAATAAACCCCGAAATTCATCTATTTCAGTTTCGTGTTCTTCTATCAAAATCGTTCGTAGTGCTTCACTAGACAAACATGTAGTAAAACAAAACAAAATCCGTTTTATCCAAAAGCTGAAAACTCTGTTGCTTTCCAAACCAAAACACTTCATTCCGATACATATTCTCTCCAAATGCCGCTCTTACCTTTCCATCCACAAGCCTCGTTCCATCCTCTCCATGATCCATCGTTACCCCACGATTTTCGATCTCTTTACTATCCCCATGCCGCCTACTCCTCTTAATGCTACTAAATCAGGATACCAACTCTGTGTTCGTTTAACCCCGGCTGCTCAATCTCTTGCTATGCAAGAATTGAACCTTAAGTCAGCTATGTCGGGTTTCTTGGCAAACAAGTTACAAAAACTCCTCATGCTTTCCTCCCATCGACGTATTCTTTTGTCTAAGCTTGTTCACCTTGGTCCACATCTTGGTTTATCTCCTAATTTCAGGTCCCGTCTTTGTAATGATCATCCAGATAAGTTTAAGATTGTAGATACCTCGTATGGTAGGGCACTTGAGCTTGTGAGTTGGGACCCTGAGTTGGCTGTTCCGTTAAAGTTTCCTCAAGTGAACCGTGGGTTGATTGTAGATAGGCCTTTGAAGTTTAAGCAACTAAGACTTCGGAGAGGGTTGAATTTAAAGAGACATCATCGGGAGTTTTTGATGAAGTTTAATGAATTGCCTGATGCTTGTCCTTATAGTACATCTGCAGAAGACTTTGCAAAGCCATCCATTGAGGCTGAGAAGAGAGCTTGTGGGGTGGTGAGAGAGGTGTTGGGGATGATGGTTGAGAAGAGGACATTAATAGACCACTTGACACATTTCAGGAAAGAGTTTGGGCTACCAAATAAGTTGAGGGCAATGATTGTGAGGCACCCGGAGTTGTTCTATGTGAGTTTGAAAGGGTTGAGGGATTCTGTGTTCTTAGTGGAGGGCTTTGATGACAAAGGTGTACTTTTAGAAAAAGATGAAAGCATGGTGATACGAGATCAACTCATGGCATTAGTTGCAGAAGGAAAAAGGATGAGACGTGAAAGGAGGAAGGCTAGCATTAACAGCGTCATTGTTGGTGACTATGACGACAATGAAAATGATGAAGATGCTTATTATGATGATGGTTTTGAGGATTTGTTTGACTCTGAAGATTCGGACCTGGATTATGATTTTGATGATGACAGTAATGAAAGTAATGAGTTGTCTGTTAATGGGGGAAATGGAGAGTTTTGGACTGCTGATGTTTCCCTTGCTTCCTATAAGAATTCTGGTGATGAGGGTGGAGATTCAGAACCTTGGTAATGATGAATGATTGTGTAAAATGTACATATTATAATTTAAAGTATAAATTACATTTTTCGTGTTTATGTTTACATGATATTTTGTGGTTTCTTTTTTCTCAATTAATACATTCTGGATATATTTTTTTTTCTAATTAATATCATATGAATAATTTCTATTCTTATAAGAAGTTAGACTTTTAATTTTATCTTTTAAAATTACAAAAATATCTTTAAATATGAATAGATAGACTAAGTATTTTGATAATTTTATTAAACAAATAGGAAAAATTGAAACCATAAGAGACATAAGTAAAATATGTCTTTGAAAAGAATATAAGCTCACATATTTATCATTATTATTTGTGAAACTTGAGAAGTTACTTATAGATAATGTCTTGATTTTGACTTAAAAGGTTAAATTAATGTAGTTATATTTTGGTTGTTGTCTATGCCATGCAACCTTTTATCTTATAGTTTGTTCAAATTTTATGTCACTACATTTGTATTTAAATTAATCTTGAAGGAAAATTCTAATGATTAGAATTATTTGCAATTTCAATTAATTGACTATATAAATAGAGATGATAATTAGACTGTTGATCCATATGATGATTGACTATATAATTAAGATAATAACATTATGACTTTTACGTTTGTGAGTAATAATTAGATTGTTGGTGAGTAAGATACTTTTGCATCTCATTATATTAATAAATTAACACCAAAAATATAATAATATAGACGGTGTAGATGTAACCATAAGATATCTCATCCGAGCGCATCAAGGTTCATCGTACGGCAGAGAAGCATTTTGCCATGAGCCAGCAACACAACATCATCAACATGCTCCACATTGAAATGGCCCCCGACTTGGCGGGAGAATGAGGATATAATACTCAATTCTCAGCAACAAGCTTACGACCGAAGCTAGGGCTTGAAAATGGAGATGTCGAACTTGTAAATGGCAGATTTTAAAATGTTTAGGACAAAATAATCCTAAGTATTCTACAGAAATGCTAACGGGAAGGGAAAGTTTGAGCAGATTGATCGGCAAACGGCGCCGTTTTCTCCCCAATCTTCAGTCCGTTCTCTCTTCGCCAATCCAGGTAACCCACCCCACTCCTCTCTTTCCATTTATTTGCTTCTTTATCTCATATAAAGTTAAGAACAACAAGTTTTTGTCCCCTTTGATTGACTTTTTTAGAGCTCATTGAATCTCTCGTCTGATAAAAATGGGCGCTTGGCTGAGACCCAATGTTCCAAAGTCAAGGTTGAATTGTCCAGTTCTGATTGGGTAACTTGCCCTGTGTGTGGGAACAAAGTTCCTGGTGAAGATTACACTCTCAATTCTCATCTAGGTATATTTTCTTTTTTATGCTTAGATCAAAAAACAATCAATATGTTTGACAATAGATAACTAACTCATGATTATATTTTTACATTATTGGAGGACAGTAAATTGTCTCTGTCCTTGTCATTGCATCGTAGACTGTAGTTGTACTTTGGTTACAAAATGTACTCTGTTGCATGTGAATCTTATTAATCAGATAACATATGGGTTGCTAAGAAGATATTACTTTCTTTTATTTTCTTTCATTTTAGATCTTTTAACATGTGAATTAATGGGTTCAGATGGATGTCTTTCTAGAAGAACTAAACGGAAGTTGACACAGCTGACACTTCTTCAGTTAAACTTTGGTTGTTCTCAATCAAATGTTCACGTTTCTTCCAGTGAATCAGAAAAGTTGCTGACTAGTGACCTTTATAAGAGTCCTTGTGACTCTGAAGAGAAGGCCACTTGTGGCTTCTCTAAAGTCAGTCCAAGTGAAGGAAAAAGCCATGATCAGTGGAGACAATTTCTACAAACGGAGAGTGTTAAACAAATTGACATGGCTGGTTCAACAGAAAATCCAATCAGTGACGGAAGGGCAAAAATCATGGTTGATGTTCCTGCATTGTCCACAGATGATGAGGAGCCTAGACATCTTATGGATGAAACTGTACATGACATACCTGGGGTGCTTATTGATACTTTTATAGTTGGCCGTAAGTTTAGTGATGTAAAGGACTTAAATCTTGGGGCAAGAATATCTCTTCTGAGGGACCCTAATAATATTAAGGATTCTAATGCTATCAAGGTCCACTTGCTTTTGGCTTTGCTTTTGCATAATTTTTTTTTTAACCCTTTTGAGAGAAGAAAAACCTACTGATTCCAAATTTAATCCTTTTTGGTTCTTATTTTTAAATCAGGTTCTTTCTGCAAGTTCTGCATGCTGCAAAGTGCTTGGTTACCTCCCTCGAGAGCTAGCTCAGTATTTATCTCCTCTAATTGAGAAGTACTGTTTGAGCTTTGAGGTAATGTAGCTGGAAAGAAACATGTTCACCTTTTTCTTTTTTGTTTGGTTGTTATTATGTATGTATGTTCATATATCTTCAGTGTTCTATGAACTATAAAAAGAATAAGCAAAGAACATGTGTAAATTGCTCCTTTAATGGGAACCGAAGGAAATAATGCAAACAAACCAACATACGTGGAAAGCCTCAACCTACCAATGGGCAAAGGTAGTCTAGGGGAAAATGAGAGGACTGTGCCATAGAAGTTTATTGGCATCATTGAAGAACAATAGAGAAACTAATTAAAAGAGTGAAAGGAATAAACCAAACTCTGTCACTCATTTATTTTGATTCCTCTTGGACCTAAGTGCTAAATCTGTTACACCAGGGAAATATTCCTCTAGGGGCCTAAGTTCTCCATCAATTGGGTAGACTCTTTTTTGTTTTTGAGAGAAAGAATCCTAGATTAATGTCTACAAAGTCATCCTCATCCCTACTCCCTTCCCTATCATGGTATCTGTTTCTCCATTGTTCTCTAAAAGTTCCACATATGTCATCAACATTTTATCCTCACAAGCTTCTAAATATACGAAAGAAAATACTTCTGTGACATGCTTTTAAAGTATCAAATGTATGTGTCGCTTATTTCCAAACATTTTGATTAAGTAACATTTAGTAGGCTATGTACACCTAGCTAAAAGAAAAGTGATATATATTCGATATATGCAGTATATAAATAACTTAACAAAAATGTTTAACTGTACATTATCGGACTTGCTCTATTTTCCCTCTGTCTCTTGAGAAATTTTCTTTGAACTTCTCATACTCTTAGATCTGGTAAAATTAGGGAAACTGACAAGATTCTGGATATCCTCATCTTACATTAGAGCTTCTTGCAGGGATGTGTGATTGCTGTTCCTAGAAGTTCTCTTGATGCTGTTCCAATTCAGATTGTGTGTCAGAACATGATATTAAATGGTGAAAAAGGATGCGATAATTTTGAGGTGTTCAAACATTTGTGGCAAAAAGCTCTTCAAGTAGTTGAATTTGCAAAGAATCGCCCACCTAATACGACAAAATATCAGGAAAACTTTTGTCTGTTACTACAGGAGGTTCTAAGAAGTAGTCCTCACCTTTTCACAGATGATGAAAAGAAATTCATTGGTACGGATTCAAATTCTTGGTTTTATTATTTCTTCCTGTCATCTAAAGTTCTACTTGATTTTAATTTCTATATCATCTGTTGACAGAATCATTCACTTCATTATCAGAGGATAGTCGGAGGCTTTTTGTTCGGCTTTATATGCGGAAAGGTTTTTCATTTACAAGATTAAGTTTCTATAATATCTTCCCCTTACAACCCCCAAATTCAAATTTTGGTTTATCCTTGTATGTATGGCTGCATTCTTCATTACTGGTTCCTATACATTGGCTCTACTGGCTGCTTAAACTTGAACTTGGATCAATGTAAGCTGTTAGGCACTGGATCCTCATCACTTGTTTATCATTATGTGTTGCTAAATTATAAATTGGATATACTGGTTGCATTACTTTGAACATTTATCCACTCAAGATTTTATGCATTGGATTATTATAACTGGCTTGTTCACTTTGTGCTAACTAAGTTTTAAGGAGTTCATTTTAATGTGAATAGATGATGTATAATGGCTAAAATCATTAAACATTACTGGGGTTCTTTTCCATATTGAGTTGATTTCTGCTTATTTAGCAGCTATTTGCCATCAGAAATGGCCTGGTGTGTGCACTTAACTTGACTAGGCCCTAGTCCCAAGTTAGTTGGTGGGTTCTCCCTACAATTATTTAACATAAAGATTGATGGAATTGGAGTCGTCATAACTACATTTATCTTTGATATTTTGATATACTTCTATTTCACTTCATTCCTTCTTTTTAATCTCCTTCTACATCTAGGAGGAGGAGCATTTTGTAATAAAAATGTGACCAGCATAAACTATAGTCTCATCTTACTAACATAAATCCTGGAAAATAGGAAATCTGCAAAGTTTAATGACTGACCTTGTAGTTTCCTTAGTTGCTGAAATGCAAAATTGCATTCTATCATGTTCACCTAATACATGCTTGGTCTATGGCATATGCATACGAAATGCATGCACACATTTACTCCAAACTCAACACGTTCAAACAGAAATATACACTAATGCTTCGATAAAGATAAATTCTTTTGGTATGGATTTTGTACTTATGTATGATACTTGTGATTAATGAGTCTTTGACATTGTGCTACAGGAAGTGGTTAATCTACTAATTTGTCTTGTCCAATTTGTTCTCATTTGTTTCCTAGGCCAATAAGTTTCATTATCATTCTAATTTCAATTCAGGACCATGGTTTCGACTGTCGACCATTATGTACCCTGAAGTATGTAATTGTCAACAAGCTGTCAAGGAGCTATCTGGTAATTTATTGCAAATATATTAGTTATGACTTCTTTACCAAATTTTGAAAATTGTAGTCCTTGACTAATTTATAATTTGGGTGGCATTGCAGCAAATGGCTATATATGTCTCTTTGAAGATATAACTGAACTACCTGAGGATGACCTGAAGAACCTTTTGAGTCTGCTCACTGTTTCTGAGCTTCGTGACATTTTATGTACACTTAAAAAGGTTTGGCATTTTATATGTCATCTTCTTTTTGTTCTTTGTGGCGCTATGGCATTTCTATACTCTTTAAAAGCATTTATAGTGATCCTTGCATGGTGTTATCATGCTGGGAATGTAATTATGACATTTGTCAGTGTCATTTGATAGGCCGAGATGTTTGGGAATATGGTTATCTAACATCTCGCTTGAAATTTTTTTCCCTCTTTTTGGGTTGTCATGTGTAGATGTTGTCGATAGCAATATTTGCTTTTTTTTATATATTTTGATAAAGCAAATAAGAAAGGTGAGCCATGCAATTGCTTCATGGGGAAGGAAGAAAGAAAAACTGGTGTTCCCTACCACAAGCTATATAATTATTATTGATTCTTTCCTTTCCTTTTACTACATACAATCTATAAGAACATGATGCCACTAAATTTCTAATGCTAAAAGGGCTTATAGGATCATGAGCAATCAAATACTGTTTTCTCTTTAAATAATTTATTTTCACTTTGATAGTACTCTACACTGGAACTTTTGTATCTGGTTGTGTATGTTTTTGTACATATGAAGCAACAGTTTTACATAGCTAAAGCACTAATAGTGAATGGTCCAGCCGTACCTGTATGATATTGAAATTTGAACATATAAAGGTCTTCTGTGCATATAAATCAATTAAACTGTGTAATCTAATGCAGACAATTGGGCTTTTCTTACATAAGTTATTACGATCACATTGTATTTTATAACTGTTTAGGTTTTCTTTGATATAATGTGGCACCAAAACATATGCCCTTATCCCATCTTATTTCTATTTGTTCATAAGGGTGTCATTTTACCATTCATCGTCACTTACAAGCATGATCTGAGGTGAACACCTGGAGCTAAAGCACTTTAAGTTAGAATGTGTTACAAGTAGTAAATGGAGCATTTTGGTTGGGTCTTTCTAATTTTGGTTGATTCCATAGTTTATGCTCCTAAAGTGATGGATTGGCCTCTGATGACTACACATTAAGAGATCTACTGTGTGGACAGATACGGGTCAAACATTATATTTATGTTTAGTATAGTAACAATACATAGACATGTGATTTTGCATAAGTGAATAAACACATTTAGATCAAATATTCATACTAGAATACAAGTTTTTAATAGTCTGGGCATGCTTGGCTTATATTATATATTTTAATCATCCAATTAATTTGGTTGTTGATGTTCCTCATATTTGGTCTTTCTAGGCAATCATTTGTTGTACTGAAATTCTAAGTAACAGTCTAATAGGCCTATAGTTTAGCTGCTATTTTATAGTTGTGACATGAAGTATGTGTTTCTTACTTGTTCCTTTGATGGTACTCCGCATTCTATTGAGGTTTCAGAAACGTAATCGTGGTTCAAGAAAGCAAAATCTTATTGCGTCTCTTCTTTCTTGCTATAAAGGTGGATCATGGTAATATTATTTCATGACAAAAATTCATCAATTTTATGTATTTTGCAATTCCAACTGTTTGTGTTAATTCTGATTTCCTATCCTTGATTAATTTGCAGCCCTGTTCTACCACACTTGATTTTGGAGAGAACTGACATTTGTACTAGGATATCTTCAGAAGCTGAATCCCTTTTTTGGCGTGCTGAGGTCCTTGTACTCCTGATCTGCCCTTCAATATTGCAGTGATATTTCATATGGTTTATAACTATTAAATGTAATAAATTTTGTTTTTTACTGCAGAGGCTTTTCTTTCTAAATGGAGAACAGGATCTGTCAGCCTTCCTACTGGTGGATCTGGGGATTGTCAAGTATCCTACTTACAAGTGCATAATTTCTGAACAGATTTTCTCAAGTAAAAGTGACTTGCTTGCTTATGAAGAGGTTTTGGCTTCTCTCTTTGTGAAAATGCGGCCAAAGTTTTGTTGCCTTTACTACATGTAATCGTTATGTGTTGCAGGCGATTGAAGTGGCTCAAATAATGGATCAATCTCTTGATGAAAACAACTTTGAATTGATCTTAAGATGCATCATGATAGCTGAGTCCCGTATATCCAGCTCTCCTGAGAAATTGATTGAAACCTCTACACCTGAATTAACGTCTACATTTCTATCATGCTTTTCAGCCTCATGGGTATATTCCAAAGTGATCTTGCTAGGAATTTCCTTCCTTGAGCATGAGCATAGGTATGGATTATGAACCTATGATGACATGCTTCTTTTGATAATATTCCCCTTATATCTTTTCCAATTGTCTTACATATATTGAGAGGACATTAAAGAACTAATTGTCTTTAAAACTCTTATATCTTTCTAGGTTTTGCCATTGTGTTTCATTGCATGTGTATGTGTACGGCCATCAATTATTCTATAAAAAGTCTTTCTTATTTCAAAATAATAGTAGTAATAGCTGTCATACTAGTGGTGGTTTTGCTTGGTTAGTAGCAGTAGTAGTGGTAGCAGTGGCAGGAGTAGTTGCAGCAAAAGCAGAAGTAGCAATAGTGGCATGCTGGTGGTATTGGTATACAAAAAGAATAATGCTACCATCAATGATCCAATAATGAATAAATTAACATACAATGAGGAAAACTCACAAGTGAACCTTAACATATCATTGAGCATGGTGCTCCTTACAATCAGTAACCTGATTTGTATGTAAAGAGTAATGATCTCGATGCATAAGAAAACATCCACATCTAAGGAAATTTTTTGTTATTGAGAATTTTATAATTCTAACTTGGCTCAGGTACAATGATGCAATACATTTACTAAGGCGATTGCTTAATTGCTTTACCTGTGATAGAAGAAGAGGATATTGGACTGTAAGATTGTCCATTGATTTGGAGAATATGGGCCGCCCCAATGAGAGTCTCTCAGTTGCTGAAACTGGATTATTAGATCCTTGGATTCGTGCTGGTTCAAGAATGGCACTACAAAGGCGAGTTCTTCGCTTGGGAAAACCACCAAGGCGCTGGAAAACTCCAAGCTTTTCTGAGTCAATTAAGAGGAACATAACAGAGGTATTTCTTAATTTTATCCTTTTGTGGATTTCAGTTCTTGAAATGCTCCTTAAACTTTGAACTTGAAGCTACTAAGTTTATTTAACTAATATTAGATTTCTGATTCTCGCAAATACAGGTTCATATTCAAGGGAGACCATTGAATTGTGAAGCTGGTAGAAAAAGCAGGTTCTATGGGGAAGACGGGGAGCAATGTGGAGTAGAACAGCTTGCTTTGCAATATTATGCCGCAGAAGGAGGTGGATGGCAGGGTGTCCATACAGAGAGTGGTATCTGGTTGACTATTTTTGGGCTTCTCATGTGGGATGTGTTATTTTCTGATGTACCAAATGTTTTCCGCACCAGATTTCAGGTATGATGCTCAAAGTTTGTCAGCAAACTCTCATGTTATTTTGGATTGCTTTTGCACACTGGTGGTGCTTTGTAATTCTTTACATGCAAGTACGTGAATTCTTTATGCTTACATGTTTCTTCGAATTGCAATGCACATTTATGAGTAGGGATCTTTGCAAATGTAAGTGCAACTGCCATTACCAGATTCCGTTCTAGCACAGGTCCTGTCTTTATTAACTGAAAACTAACTTGGTAACTTGAAGCAAACTGTATACTGTTATTATAGTTAGGATGTAAGAGGTGGTGTATATACATAGGAAGGAGAGTGAGTTTGAACCAACGGGGCAAATTTTATCAGCTCTTTTACCTTTGTAAATAATGTTCTTTCCATCCTTAGAATATAATTAAGTTATTGTATGTCATTGTACTTTAATTTTCCAAATTATTTTACAATAGCGAATGGGTGTTGGAGCTGTGACAGCTTAACACTATGTTTGCAAGCTAAGAGGTGAAGGAAAGAAGAGGAGAATGGAGAAAATGAGAAGAAATAGGGCACCGTTCCATAAAGAGAAGAGTGAAAGGAAACGAAGGAGTACAATAGAAACCTTGTTTGGTTAAGGAGCAGAAAAGGAAGGAAATAATAATTTATTATATACTTTACAATTAAGTCATTGTCAGCTACAAATCTCTCCCCTGCGTTTAGAGTTTTTCTTAAATTAGGAAATGCACTCTTCTTCCTTTACCTTCCTCTTCCTTCCCCTCCCTTTCCTTCAATCCAAACAAAGCCTAAGTAATGCCAAGGATGATGTTAGAGTTGTGGGATATTTTGGAAGGCTGGGTGTAAATTATTATTACTAGAAAATGAAACAGATAGCTTTTATATGCTGTTTCAATTAAACAATGTTGGAACAAATAAAATGTTCTTACTTTAAAGTTGTCAGATTAGCAACATATGAGGTATTAACTATCAAGTTTGGTGTTGTTTATGTTCCTATGATACATGAAGTAAGCATGTCACTCTGTAAAATTTGCTCATGTTTTTTGGATCATTTTGTGATTACATGTTCATAACATGAGGAGTACTGGGCTCTGGTTGAAATTAGCTGTTATATATTGCAAAAATTGAGAAGGGTGGAGAGAAAGAATGCGGAAACTTGAAAATTTCTCCACCCTTAAAATGATAAATGCTGGTAAAACATTCAAATATGTGTGCATTTGGAGAAAAAGGAAGCAAAACAGACATTTGAAAGAGGTAATAGTTTTGACTCAATAATGAATTTGAATTCTGTGAAAAATCTCATGTTCTTTTTTCTTTAGATGAGCTATATTTGTTAAATTTGTGTCTAAGTGGGTTCTGCGAAGAAGTAAAGATATTTCCTTTCACAGACTGGTCCCCTGGATTTGGAGACTGATCATTTTTATCTAGTGAGAATGAGCCTCATAGAGTATCACCTACAAAAAATTCATGATGGTTTGGCAGAAGAGATTCTCATCACTTCATGGGAATTGCATATGGGAACAGCTTGTAGAGGAGTTAATTGGGATCGACACTCCCTCTCTGACCTTCGAGCAGCAGTTTCATGCATTGGAGGTCCCTGTTTGGCTTCTCTCTGCAGACATCTTGCTCAGGATTACCAGAGTTTGTCCAGTGGAATGCCAGATTTGTTGCTCTGGCGCTTCCATGGAGACCACAGAGGTGAAGCGAAACTTGTTGAGGTCAAGGGTCCCAAAGATCAACTCTCTGAACAACAAAGAGCTTGGTTGCTGCTTCTAATGGATTGTGGGTTCAAAGCAGAGGTTTGTAAGGTGAGCCCTGCGCTAACATCCACTTGAGGTCAATTACTATACTCTGTTGTTTGTGACAAAAATCAAATCTTTCCAGGACATGAGTCTACTGTTGTAATTTCTTCAACAAATATGTGAATAAGTTACCATGGAATTCATTGTCCATTGTTGTGTAATTGTTTCACGAAATGTCAAGAAACAAACCATTCTTCATGGAGGCCTGTCCTTATGACAATAGAACTGAATAAGTTGTTTAGAATCATTTGGTTTCTTATGTAATAATTGTGTCCTTCACTTATTTTCAAGTGAGTGTTGGACATGAATCTGCCCCCTGAAAAGCATCAAAGTCATTAGAAATGAAATCAAAGGGCTTGTATCAATGGCATGGAGAGCTTGCAATTGTTTGATAGAAAATTTTACCCTTTTCCCAGTAATACACATGCTATAGCATTGACCCTTAATTATTTACTATGTATTTTTCTCAACATTCTTATTTTTAATTCTTGAATGAAACCATAGCATTCCAACCTACTAATCATTTCTCTAAAGGACACTAACATCTAAGCCTAAGTCCCACATGAGTTTTCTTTTCTTCATACCCAATTGGACTTGGACAAAAAACTAATAATGTCATTGTTGATTCTTTGATACTATCATATAAAAATCTATTTGGAGCTAAGATGATGCAATCAGGTCATAGACAAACCACTATATGACTATTGACTAGCAAGGGGAAGAGGTGATATTATATGTTGAAATGTTAGTTGAATTAATAAAAAAGCTTTGATTAGACCCTTCTAATTTCCTAAATTGAGCGGGCTAGAAAATTATTTTTTAATTGAGAAATTCAGAATTTCCATTTTCCAAATTTATGAGATAATTGTCCATAAAAATAAAACAAAAAAGAGAAACAGAAACAAACAAAGAAATGAAGGTGTAAATCTAATGGTGAAGGGACGGAAAAGGGGACCACATGAATGTGTATTGAGTGGTCACATTCATTCTCTGAGGAGTGTTGATTAGATCAGAAGATTAGATTAGGGTTGGAATTAATGAGCGTATGTTATGTTCCAACCATCATAGGCCCCACAGCCATCTTCCATCATCCATGCATCATCTCTTTCCTGTCATGCTCTTTCTCCCTACTAAGATAATTTATTAGACACTAAGTGCTTATTAGATAAAATTTTTTTTAATTTGTTTATTTTTTAAAAATAAAAATCAAATTAAACATAAATTTAAAAAAAATAAAAAAAATAATTTTTTTAAAAAATAAAATTGAAAAGAAGTTTCAAAAAAACTCTTATGAGGAGTTTTTCTTTAAATATAAAAAATTTTTTATTTTATTTTAAAAATATTTTCATCTATTAAATATAATTATAATATTATTTTTTAAAAAATATCTTTTAAAAATTATCAAATAATTTAATTTTAAAAATTATTATTTTAAATAAAATTTCATAATAATTTTTAAATTAAAAAAATTGAGTCAAACGGACTCTAATTATATTTTTTGTTTAATAACTATTTGCAGTAAAAAAAAAAAGAAGAAAAAACCACGACACACAAAAACATGCAGCTTTGCGTTTGCGTGCGATACCCATCAATTAAAAGACGGTTTTCGCCGACAATAACGTAACCCCAAAAACTCTTTTCATTATTATCTCTCCTCCTCGCCTTGCGTAAGTAAAGTAAATTATAATAAAATAACATAAAATCCACTTCTCAAGTCTCTTCTCATCTAAATATGTCTGAATGTATTAAATAGAAGGGAATCTATCAACAAACCACTCAAAGGCTAAAGCCCCTCCCCAAAACACTAGACCAAATTTCATTCATGTAAGAATTTCTCTCTCTCTCTCCTTTCTTTTTTATTTTCTGTGTAGAAGAATAGGTATATCTGTAAATAGTATGCTCCTCTTTGTCGATGCGGTTTTAAGGATTCTGGGTTTTTTTTTTTTTTGATTATTTCTTTCTGATGTCGGACTTTTATGTTGGATAAGATTTTTATCATGTTTTACGGTTTTTGTTGAGTGGGTTTGTCTGCAAACAAGTTTCTTTTTTGAATTCCGGGAATACCCTTTTGCTCCAAATTCCATTTCCTTTTAGGGATTCAACTTGGTATAGATTTTGTTTGTTTCGGGATGAGTAAGAGAAAGATACGTAACGTTTCAGTTTGTCTTTTTTGTTTGGAAATAAGTTTCTTTTTGTGAATTTCAGGAATACCCTTTCTCGCCGGTCAGTATATACCTCTTTAGGGTTTCAAAATATTTTTTAATTTTTGTCAAAAGGAAAGGATAAGAAAAGAAGGCTTGTGATAATTGGATAATTTTGCAGTTGAATGCAAATATAGCATGTCCTATCCGCAAGTGGAGGATTTCTATTATATGGCTGAAGATTTCGTCGATGACATGGATGAAGATAACTACGGTAGAGGTGGTGGAGACATGGATGCTGATGAATACGACATGGTTTGTTTTTCCTTTCCTCTTTTAATTTTTGTTGTTCCTTTTAATTCATTTTCAAAATGAATGATGGATTTTCATTACTTTCTAATTATAATTTGAGCAGCTGACCAAAGTGACTGATACATCTTCTGCACAAGCGCGGAGGGGGAAAGACATTCAGGGGATTCCATGGGAAAGATTGAACATAACTAGGGAAAAATATAGATTAACGAGGCTTGAACAGTATAAGAATTATGAGAATATCCCATCCTCTGGTGAAGCAGTCGACAAGGTTTGTTTCTTCTCCTACCATCTCAAAAATGAACTAGTTTTTCTCTAGGAGGATAGTGTGTTAACCTTAATGGTAATTGGCATTTGTTGTTCAGGAATGCAAGCAGATGGAAAAGGGTGGGAACTACTATGAATTCTTCCACAACACTAGATTGGTTAAGCCCACAATCCTCCATTTTCAGGTTTGTAAGTCAGAAAGTGTTTTATTTCTTTTTCTATTTTCATTTATATTTACTTTTAGATGATGTTGATTTTGGTGTCAAAACAATGTTGTTGTTGAATTTATTTATTTTTTACTTTTAAGTAGTGAAATAGCTATAATATATGTAATAAAGACTGCCTCTCTTATTTGCTTGGTTCAGTTTTGTGCACAGGCAATTATAAAGATACTTGATTTGCTTCTTTTGTTTCAAATAAGGTATCCATTAGTGTCATATTTCATTTATGGGGTTGATTGGTGATATTTACACTTTTGAACCTACAACTTTGTGTGTGTGTCTGGGCTTGTGTGTGCCTGTGTTGTTTCATTAACTTTTAGGTCTCTTTCTTTCTCCCTGCCACCCACAGTATTTTTGCCATTGTACACGGTAATAATTTCACCGTAAGAACACTGGAAGTCATTCCTGGATTTTCTTAGAAGCTTAATATGTATTTTGATTATTGAAATTCAGTAGACAAGTAGGGACACATAAAAATTACTGTGGTAGCAGCAGACCCTTACATACATTCGTTTATCCACTTTTAGTTTGGTAAAAGGATTCTTGTAGCCAACAACTACTATTAGATCAAAGGCTTAGTTGGGTATAAATATATATATATATATATATATATATATATCTGTTTATAAGTCTGCATATGCACACTCATAGATGCATCTATGCATATGTCTGTTTTGAATACTGATCAAACTTTCAATAGATGATTTTATTTAATTTTTAAGGTTTGCTTTACTGATTAGGGATAAGTTTAAAGTTGCTAATATTGACCTGACAATGGCTTTAGTTGTTTGTATTGATTCTTAGTCTTTCAACTTAGTAAGTTGCCGAATTTATTTAGTGATTCTTATGTTAGAAATTGAGAGGCATTTTAGGTTTGTTTAATAGTATTCTGATCTTGTTTGGCAGTTGGTACATATTTTTAGGGAGTTGAAGACTAAGTTTATATTTGACGAGAATACTAAAGACCATTAATATGTGCACTCACTTTCTATTTATCTGGGAAACTTTCCCGCAATTAACTCTTTTATGTGGTAGTGTCCTCATTCAACGTTAGGTCCGATGTATTAGGACACTGATATCTAGTTAGGATTTTTTTTTTTTATTAATCTGCAGTTAAATCCATTCAGTTCTACAATCATCACCAGAGTTACCTTTCACTCTTTACTGGAATGTCATCTATTAACAACCAAAATCTCATCCATTTAAACAAATTTCTTGCTGTTCACATGGTTGTTCATTGGTATATTTGTTAACACTCTCAAACCATAATCCCACATCATGTACAATAAAAACTCTAATGCCCTTGGATTTTTGTTTAAATGATTTTGATCTGGAATGTTTTGTTTGGCTGACCTAATCAGAGTTTCTGTTGATGTTTTAGGTGGCAATAACAGCCAATACCCTTCATTTGATATGTCATATTGTTTAATAGTCTTAATCTCTCAGATATCACTAAAAAGTATCTTCTAAATTGTAGTATATCACATTGTTTATCCCATATCCTTTGTGAGATTCTCTTTTATTGTAGACAGAAAATGCCCAAGTTCATTATTTTCTAAACATCTAAGATTCAGTGATAGAATCCTGTTATTGTGTTATGATATATTTCTGATATCTCTTAGTTTGGAGAAGTGTCTCTTGTGCTATAGTTGTTTCTGAAGGCTTATTAAAACATATGATATTTGAGCAAAATACTCATTTTCTCCCTGTATTGAAATTCAGTCATAGAATCTTATTATTGTTTTATAATATATTTTTGATATCTCTAGTTTGAAGAAGTATTTATTTGTTGTTGAAATTGTATCTAGACACTTGTTATTTGAGCTTAAATAGCCTGTTGTTGAACAAATTTGCAGCTTAGAAACTTGGTTTGGGCTACTTCAAAGCACGATGTTTACCTCATGTCCAACTATTCAGTAATGCATTGGTCATCATTGTCGTGCAATCTGTCTGAGATCCTTAATTTTGCAGGGCATGTAGCACCTACCGAGGTATTACAGTTGTAGTTATTAGCCTTACTGCTTTATAACTTTTCCTTTTCAGCATGATTGATTTTGAAGATAGTTAATTATTATAGTTAATTATTGTAGTAATTTTAGTCTATTTATATCTGCTAACTTCTATTGCCTTATAACTAGAAACATCCGGGAAGTCTATTAGAAGGTTTTACGCAAACTCAAATAAGCACGCTTGCTGTCAAGGACAATTTTATGGTTGCGGGAGGCTTCCAGGGAGAGCTTACTTTTAAGGTAAGTTAATATTTGCAGCATTCTCCTATTTTTTGCTAATATTGGTTTCTTTTGGATCTGCTGGTTATGATATAGAAATGCTAATCTTTTGATTGATGGTTGGGTTTTTTAAAATTCATTGGCTATTGGGGAATATGCCTCTAGAAGTGTATGAGACCTGGTTTGAACCTAAGCCTGGTGAGAAATTCAGAGGATATTGCTTGTTCTTCAGGGATAGAATCAGAATAACCCCAGCAAGTTTTCCTCTCTAAATTAAGTAAGCTAGTGACAATATCTGAGATGACTTTGAAACGCTTGCCATTTGTGTATATGCTTAAACAAATTTGAACACTATCTAGGAATCATCTGATTTTCCATCAGTTATATGATGACTTGTTATACGTGATTAGTCCAAAATAACTTTGGAGGAACTGTATATTGTTCATAGTTAGTGTCTTAATCATCTTGCAAACCTGTGCAAGAAATGGTAAACATTTGATTAGTCATTTTACTAAATTGGGAGAGAGCACGTGTGGTCAACTATCTCTTCTGTAGGATCTCTTCATTTGTTATGATGAGGAGAAGAGGGTATTTGTGTTTGTAAAGCATCTACCGTGTATGTGCGTGAGAATGCATGTGCGCTTGTGTTTGTGTGTGTGTGTGTGTGTGTGTGTGTGTAGAGAGAGAGAGAGAGAGGGAGTTTCTGTGTTATTATGTTATACTGGTATTGGTTTTTGGGATTTGCTCATATTTGGCCAAGTGAGTTTAGATTATTTTGTTACTCATTGGGCTGAGATAACTTCTTCATGTCCAGGCAATTAAACCTAGTACCAAATGCCTTCATTTTCTAAAGTATAAAGTCTTAAAGAAATTATTCATCAGTTGAAAGTTATGCTCTTGAAGGTTATCCATTAGCATATGTAATTTTACACTTACCAAAGTAACTACAATCTGAATGATGCGTAAGTTTTACCATGATCTGTTTAAAATGGCAAACCGCCAAGCCTACCCTTTTTGTCTCATGAAATGTGTCATATCCTAAAATATTACAAGTACTGCATCCCCATCTCTGTACCCATAACATAACCTGGGATGTATTACATTTCTAGTAACCATTTATATGTTCTTTAATTTTAATTTTGAGTTCTGATAGAATTCAAGAAAAGGAATTCTAGAAAATCCTTGATAAATGTTGGCATGTTTATATGAAGAGTGACATGGATTGTCATGCAATAAAAATACTTTTGTCATACTTGGTTTGCTTTTCCCCTTTTCTTTTATTGATATTGTTCAATTTTAATTCTTGTTGATGCAGCACTTGGACAGAAAAGGAGTAAGCTTTTGTACACGGACAACCTTTGATGATAATGCAATTACAAATGCTATTGAGATATATGATAGCTTGAGGTAACATGATATTTGCTGATTGGCTGTTTGACTGGACACATTACATTGAATAAAATACAGATTGAAATTTGAAGCTGTTTTGCAGGGGTGGAATTAATTTTATGGCCTCCAATAACGACTGCAGCTTGAGAGAATATGATACAGAGAGATACCAACTTATGAATCATTTTCGTTTCCCCTGGCCAGTAAATGTGAGCCCTTCAGTTCTTCTTTCTTAACCTCTCATGTTATATCATATGTTCACGTATTTCAGTGCTTTTTCAAAGCGGGAAGGATCTAAGGGTAGTCTTATGGTTATTTGAAGTAAATGATATTTTCACATAATGGAGATAAATGGTTTGATTTGGTTTATGGAATCTGCGTATCAAAGGCAATAGAGATTGTTGCTCCATAATCAAAAAAGCAAACCTAAATCTTCTAAGATGTATTAATGACTTGACTTAATTTTTATTTCCATGACTAAACTTGTTTATTGTGATGCAGCATACATCAGTGAGCCCTGATCGAAGGCTTATTACTGTTGTTGGAGATCACTTGGAGGGGTTGCTTGTTGATTCGCAAAATGGAAAGGTACAAAAATAATTTTCTAGATGATGTTGGAACTGTGCATGTGAGCCTTGGTGCAACAGTAAGGTCCTAATGAGTTTTGGGTTCAAATTAGGGAAATAGCCTTCCCTGAAAGCAGGGCTGAGGTTGTGTATGTGACTCTTGTGCACTGTGCTCCCCCTTTTTAGTATTGGAATTGCCCTTTTCTGCTTTTGAATCATTTAAATTTGGAGAATGCCTAAGACAAAATAGCGAGCCTACCATAAAGAGCAAATAAATTACTAATCTTACAGCAATAAACATGCTTTGATCTTAGTATCTATGCGTGTCTGTTTAGCCTACTCTTTTTCCTTTACAAGTGTCACTTGCCAAGTTGCCATTGGTAGTTTTTCTGACATTAGTAATAATCATTTGTTCCATTTGTGCATTTGAGAAAAAATGAAAGGTCCAGGACAAAACCAGGTGCAAGCACCATTGCATGTGCTTGTTCTTTACTACTTTCTCGGTCAAAGCTTTAACCAGTGATTTGTGTAGATGGTCAGAGTATTGAATTTAAACACTTAAAACAGTGCTATCTTTCTACTGTAGAAAAGTAAGAATTATTGAGCTATTTGAAACTGAAACACATTTTCTGTGGTCTCAGACTGTGGCCACGGTGGTAGGTCATCTAGACTACTCCTTTGCATCTGCATGGCATCCGGATGGACGCTTGTTTGCCACAGGAAATCAGGATAAGACCTGCCGAGTGTGGGACATAAGAAACCTCTCATTGCCAGTTGTGACTCTTAAAGGAAACTTGGGTGCTGTGCGCTCAATCCGCTTTTCATCTGATGGCCAATTCATGGTGGTTGCTGAACCGGCAGATTTTGTTCATGTGTATAGTACGAGGGCCGATTACCGGAAAAGACAAGAGATAGACTTTTTCGGTGAGATTTCAGGGGTTTCTCTGAGTCCAGATGATGAGTCTCTGTATATAGGAATATGGGACAGGACTTATGCTAGTTTGCTGCAGTATAACAAAAGACACACTTATGGCTACTTAGATTCATACTTGTGATTATGTCAATGAGTACTCATGAATGAGTGTGCTGCGTGCTGCTGTAGTTTTGCACCCATTTTGTATTCTCTTTTGTTATGTAGGCTGATTTGAGTGAAGATCAAATATGACTGTAGAATAATTGTATCCTTTTGTTAGAACTTTGCTAGGAGCATGTACAGGACAAATATTATCCTTGAAATGAAATGTCTTACGACAATAAGTTTATATCCATACTTCTTCTAGCTAAGGTAGCACGAGGGAGGTGCGTGCTGGCCTCTGTGATGGAAAACAAGTTCAAAGCCCACTACCTGAGACTTCCAAAAACCTTTATAATGGTTGGTACTTTTTTTTTTTTTCTTGTCAAATTTATTTCTTGTTCTACAAATTCAAAAACAGAAAGCGATTGCTAATAAATGATTTAAGGAGTACCCCAAGAAAATTTCCTATGTACATCAGGTGTACTAGGTCTAGGTGCGGTATCTGTAAGGCTTATGCATGTGGCAATATCTTTTGGATTTGGTAAAATTGGGACGAGTTGGTTGTTAGATATTGTGATGGAGATTTTGGTGAACCCGACCAATGATGGGTTTATGATAAAGATTACTGGACAACAGTGATTTTCATGGTTGATTTGTCTATAAAGTTGCAGGAAGAAGAAGATTCATTCAGCTTATAAGCTGACATTGAAAGATGGAACTTCCAAGAACAAAAGCTGTGGAGATGGGGTTGATAGGACGTCCACTTGGTCTGGGTGTAATGTGGGACATTACATGTAATACTTTATTGTTTCTAATAGATGAATTAGGATTGTAACTGAAAAGTTTAGACCCTCAATTTATAATAATTAAAGAGATTAGAGATCAAAATGAGATTGCATTACATTACATGAAAAGGTTTTTCAAGTTAGAACAGACAGGTGGGACCCAATCTCACTGTATTGACAGACTAATGTTCTTATTCTCCTGTTGCTCCCAGGGAACGATGGGTCATTTGTTTATTGCTTTGGCTTTGTGCATGAATTGAATTTAAATCTTTAAAAAGTATATTTGATTTGATTAATCTCCCAAAACCTTGCATCATTGGTTGGAACATCGAGATATCACCCGTGAGTTGATTTGATTTTTCCAAGTAAAATCCAATTAATCTTTTGATATTTTCTCATGCATGCTTGAATTGATTGATTGATTTATTAATAGCATCAATGCCCTTTTCCTTTTTTCTATTTTGCTGGATTATAAAGCTTAAGGAAGACAAAAATAGAGAGGATCCGTGCCTCAACTTGCAAGGACTCACCTTCCTAAGGACGCTACAATGGTCACCAGGTCAAGCCAGCTGGTCCCAAGGTACAGTTTTAATGGCATTGGAGATCAACCCATTCATCCAACAACACAAAATAAATAAACAAATAAATAAATGTTCTCCATAAAGATTCAATAACAAATTAATTGAACCAAACTCTTTGTTAGTGTTATATAATTGATGGGTTTTTTTTTTCTTTCTTTTTTGGCTTCATATAATTGATACATAATTTAACCCTTGAATGCCAAAAAGAGTACGTGAATGGGGCTTTATCTGAATTTTCCAACAAGAGAAAAAAGTTCGTCTTCTTCTTCCCAAACTTACTGATAAATTAGTTAACTTTCCAAGTGTCACTTTGTCCTTACTAGCGGTATTATCTAAAGGATGAAAGAGACAAAGGAGAGGCCAGAAATGCAATGCAATAGAATTGTTGGGGAGGCGGTGCCGGTGAGGGGCTAAGGAGAGAGAGAGGGGAAGGGGCCCCAGTACCCACATCCATGGCTCGATAAAAGGCTAACGCCGACGCAACCCGTGACCCTGGTTTGGATCTTGTGGGCACCGCGCACGTTGCGTTGGACCCCCGCAACCCTCCAATTCCTTTTGTATTTTATCTAATACTAGACCAGACTAGACTAGACTAGATGTCAAAATTATTTAGTGCTACTCTGTTTAGGGGTTGGTTAATCCATTTTAAATTAAGCCACAGGCAAGTTCCTAGAATGTGTTTTTTAAAGTATCCAAGTGAGTCAGGTTTAATGTAATTAGATGTTATTAAATTGAGATAATTAAGTTTAAATTGAGCTGAAGTAGCTTCATTTTGTCATTTTGAGAAATCCACTGAGCTTGATTTGCTTGGGCGTTCTTGCAGAAGCAAGGACATGTGCTGAAGGGCAAAAAAAGAGGCGGTTGTACAACATTGAACATTTTGGTTTTGTTTGTATTGTCAAGAAATTGAGTCCGTGATTCACCATTACTTTCAAATTTAAGACAAATTTTAAACATAAGTCTTAAATTTTGTTATGAAAGTTTAAATTAATCTAAATCTAATCACGAGAAAAACAGCATCCACATTTATAAATATTCAAAATTTTCTTACACATTCGATGCCATGTAAGGTTAAATTACTTTATTTATTTTTTTAAAATAATTGATATAATATTTTCTCTCACTCAATTTGACCACGTCTTCGTCACCGTCATTCATCCTACTTTTAGAGATATTCAATGTGAGTTAATTTTAAGTTAAATATGTTATGATATGATTTTATCATAAAATTATTATTATTTTTTAAAAAATTAATTTGATAAGATATGTAATACTCACACTTATAAATTTTTCAAAATCTCTCTACTCACTTGATGTAGAATTGAAATAACTTGACTATGACGGGACACTTGATCTGGATCAAACACTCTTAATTACATTTTTAATTCCATACTAATTAATGTTTATTAAAAAAAAGTAAGCATTTTACCTTCATAGTTCATATAAATTAAAGTGGATTTTCTATAATGAAAACAAATTTTACCAATTTTCCAGCTAAAAAGTTTAAGAAAATTGATTAAGTCCTGCACTTTTTTTAAGGCTTCTGTTTTATTAATATATATAGACAACAATCACCGACCATGTTTCTCAAGGGACAGCAAAATCATTAAGGATGTTTCTGCAATGATTCTAATTAACATGATTAATATGTCTCCATCTATTTTCATTATTTATCCTTATATTATATATATAATACTTTTTTTTTTTGCAAAATGACGTTAAAATTGTTGCAGAAATTGTCTTTCTACAATATTATAAATTAACTTAGCGGCCAAGAATCATTTAAAAAACACACGAAAGGGTTCCTACATGTATTATTTGTGTATATTATATATATATATATAGTAAAAATTTGTTAAAAATTGATTATGTAATTTTAATGACAAACGAAATTTAAATGTTTAATAGTTAATTAGCGATGATTAGAAAATTGAATATTAATGACAGGAATATTTTTAAAGAAAATGTGGTATTATATGCTAAGCTTATATCAATAAATATACTATCATTCAAATATATATATATATATATGATTAACTCAAAAGTAGATCCATTTAATTAATTGATAATAAAATAAATCTCAAGATTAGCCTCTCCACTTGGCTTTTTTTTTTTCTTCAAAATAGAAAATTAAACTTAACTTACCTATTTTGTTTTAAGTTTGAGTGGAGGAAAATGGTCAGTCATAGCCAGATATATAATATACATCTATCCTCCCAAATACGACATGGTTTTGGTTAACTTTGCCCAAGTTGTATATATTCCATTCAAGGGGATAAAAATCAATTGAATTTACTCAAATAGTAAGGTAAGATAAAAATTTTTGAATGACTAATAATAAATTAGTTAAATCCGTAGAATCACAATTTTGGTTGTCAATTTCAAAGATTTAATGGGAATTCTTCGCATTTTCCGTGACTTGAAAGGGTCAAACAATTTATTTATCTCGACTTATATATAATAAAAAAAATTAAAATAAAAATTTTAAATTTGAAACTTAGTGTAAAGTTTTTCTTACGCCGAATATGTGAAGGGGACCCCAAAGCAAGTCATTTTCCCACAAAGATTCCTCCGTATATAACAGACCTGTGTGTTACCCATTAGTATAGTGGTTGCTACTACGTCTGGTGTGCAAAATAATAAAATAATAATTGACAATTCAGATGTGGAAAGGGCAGGCACGAGGGGTAAGGAAGAAGCGACAGATTGGGTCACAGCGAAGACGAGGAGTGGGATTAAGCTTCCAGACAAGAGAAAAAAAAGGGCCTGGGCATGGGTTCGG